GGCAGGGATCGAACTCATGCTGAAGTGGCTTTAGCTTCTCAGTGCTGTGCTTTAACTTGCTGCGCCACCAAGGAGGGCCCAATTATATTCTTTGAAAGTCTACCTGTGGAGGTGGTGATGCCCATGGGGGTTGAGGGCTGTCTCCCTCTTCCTTTACACAGTGGGAAGTAGCCATCCTGAGTCAGGTCTTTCACAATTTACTCCCAGCTACTCTCTATAAGTTATACCCCATTAATCCGCTTCTCAAACTGGTTCATTTCCTGCCAAACATTTCTTGCTCCTTTCTTACCGCCATCTGTTTTTTTTTTATTCTTTATCATTTATTTTGACCAAAATACACTATCTTCCTATCTTTAATAAATCATATTCTAGCACCTTTTCTAACTCCAGCTCACAGCTAGACTACATGCAACTGTCCCAAACCATTCTTCCCCACTTTCTTCTGACTTTATTGGTTTGCCAGTATCATACTGGTGTACTCCTGCTTTTGTTATTATTTTTTGTACTTGAAATTACTTATCTTGTATGTGATTTTTTATTTTTCCCCAAATGAATGATAAATTCTTCGTAGGCATGAGAAATGAATATAATCATTTGCACAGTTAATATCTAATATTTGTTGTTTGGCTACAAAAGACAATTTTAAAGTCAAAATTCAATATAAACAGTTTGTACAATCTGATGTCTTTCAATATTAAAACAGAAGAGGAGGAGGTAACCCATTGTAAAAATATTTGAATAGTAACAGATTTATATCTTGGGATCTAAGCAGTTATTTTATTGCAACCAGTTGTATTAAATAATAATAGTATTATTACTTTTTTTTTTCTTTAAGATTTATCCATTTATTCGCACAGAACTGGGGTACAGGCCAGAGATGTGGAGGGTGAAAGGATTCAGCAGAGACAAAGTGGGGAGTAGAACAGGCAGATCGACAAAGTACACCGCTGAGGGGAGCAGCGGGCGGGCCAGGAGAGGTCTACCGCGCCATGTGGTCACCTCCGGGGCAGGTGGGGATCGAACTCATGCGGAAGTGGCCCAAGCCTCCCAGTGCCGTGCTCCAACCTGCTGCGCCACCAGGGAGGGCCAGTATTATTACTTTCAGTCAACTTATTTAACAACTTATTCACTGAGTCCCTAGTTTGTATAAGAAACCACAGTGAGATCCAATGGATGAGATGATGAATAAAATCTTGGCCAAGTCTTCAACACTCAATACTTTAATGGCAGAAACAGATTTTCTAACTTGTCACAGAAATTAACTAAGAACACAATACAGTTAACCCATTAATTCTGTGTCTGACTAATTTCAACTGGTAGAGCTTAGGAACCATTTGTATTCACATCTCCTTACCTCTAAAAGGGGGGATATAACATTTTTAAAAATTATTTATTTATTCATACAGAAATGGGGTACACATCTGAGGTTCAGGGGCAGTGAGAGGATTTATCAGAGACAGAGTGGGGAGCAGAGTATGCAGATCAACTAAGTACACTGCTGAAGGGAGCAGCGGGTGGGTCAGGAGAGGTCTCCTGTGCCATGTGGATCACCTCTGGATTCTGGGATTGAACTCATAAAGAAGTGTGTGTGGTTAGCTTGCGGTACTGTGCTTTAACCAGTTGCACTACCAGGGAGGACTGGGATATAACATTTTAAACAAGGGCTCGAGAGATAATTGGGACCCTGAAGACCAATATGGCAGAGGGAATTCTGAACTATAAGGTCAGAAGTGACAGGTAAGATATGAATACATCCCTTTACCCCATTTTAGTTTCTCTCAGTAGGTGACCTAATTTGCTATGTTAGGAGAAATATAAAAAAGCCAATCCACTTGTACATCTTAAAACATGTCTGTCTTTCCCTCCATCCTCAAAAGTCCTCCATTGTTTTGCAAAGTTAAGGTCTCCAAACTGTTTTGGACCCTCTCGCTAGTCTAACATTGAACACTTGGTTGGTTCCAGAACTTACCCTCTCTCTCCTTTGTCTGTGGTCTAGTTTTTGAAAGAATGGTCTATGTTGTGGTCTATGTTAGACACATATTCTATATGTCTACTTTATTTCTAACTTATTACTCAGTTATGTAAGTGAGTTGCCTCTTTTATTCTGTAAAATAAACTAAAATAATGATTCACTTTTTTTTATTTCATCCTCTCTTTATGGCAAAATAAATTAGCCAGTTTTTGTTTTTATAATTTATTTGCTATATTCAGGGGACAGAGACTATATAGTCTCTGAACAGGATTTCTCATGTCTAGAAGATAAACTGTTAAATAATTGTGTCTGCGTAAGTATATTCAATCAAGAGCTGTTTATTGCAGTAATCAATGAGAATTCTGGACTTTAGACAAGCTGTTCTCTCAATGTAGCTTACCGTAACTCAGAAATCTATATAATTCTTCAGATGACAATTGGTAAGGCATACAATTTGTCTTCTTAAGCAACATAAAAGGAAAACCTTTAAGGTAATTATTTCCTACAAGTCAGGGAAGGTTTGATATCTCAACTTTGTACTGACACACCGGGAAACATCAGTCCAGTTCCTGATTTATGTCCCAGCTCATTGACAGTTTCATTTACTAAGGAAGAATTGCTAAGATGGTTTCACTTCTTGTATACAATAAATGGCCAGAACTCTCCATAACTTACTTTGCTCACCTTTCCCGTCTTCAGAGTCAAATTTACCATTAACTACCTTCACTAACTTCAAAACTGCCGAATTGTCCACTTACACACAAATAAGTCTTTTCCAGGAGAGGGTTAATACATACTATTCCATGAACGGTTGGCTCCACTCATTTTTTTCAGATTCCTTTGTAATGAATACTTCATTTCAAACAAACCAATTGTTTCCCTTCATATTTTAAAATAAATTTATCTCCCCACACCCTTTTTAAAAATGATTCTCTTTAAAGTAATCAGAGGTCTGTAGCATGAACTTCTCTTTTCTTCCTAAGGAACAGTATAGAGAAGACCTACTAAATGTAGTGGATATTACAAAAACTCCATAAATATTTATGTCAATAGACTAGTTTGTATTTAACAATATTATTAACATATCTATAAAGATCACTAAACAAATGTTTTGACTAAAGTTCAAATGGGAAATTTCGGGCCTATGTTTTAATATTTGTAGGGATTATGATTACAATTGGAGACACACATTCTATACGTGTAGAAATTTTAAAGTTATACATAAAATTACACATTAAATAAAATATAAACTTTCCTCCAGTCTTAACAAATATAACTTTAACTACCTGGCAGTATCACTACACATTTACAATTTTAGTCTCCTTGAATTCTATGCCTTAGTGTAATTGTATAGGGGGGCCTGTCCCACACCTTCCTCTTCCCATTTGCAATCAACACCTTGAGAGGCTTTGTACATATGGATTGACTCTGTAGGCACCTCAAACCACTTTCCCTTAGTTACCCTTTAGGCCTAAGGGTACATTTACTGCTGGTTTTATCTCCTCAGAACAGATCCAGGGAAAAACAGGCCCTGGAAGGAGGCTTTAAACTGTTTGGGGACAGGAAACACCTGAGTTGGAGACCCAGAGCATGGGGTTAGGAGAAAATAAGGGCTTAAGCTGGGCACATCCTAGTGCCCTCACACCCTTCAACCTGTGAGGAGGTATGGCCAGAACAGCAACTCACAGGTCCTAGAGTAGGGCCTCTCTTGCTCAGGATTAAAGGCAATAGCAAAGAACTTACTGAAATGGAGAATTTACCAGATCATGTTACTAGTTACTTCACTAGTTGAAACTGTAATTACGTAAGAAGGTGATTACGTAGGTAGATAAAATCTGAAATTCCAACCTCAACTTCAGTACCCTCAAGATCTATAATCCCAGGGTCTAATATGTATCTGGGTCTATCTTACAATCTGGAGTCTAAGCATTCTTTATAATTTCACACAAATTTAGAGAGATGTTCGGATGCTTGAAGGAGACAACAAGGCAAAGAAGAAAGAAGTGGAGGAGAACATCAAGTAACAAAGACAAGATCAGACATGCAGGTCTAAGACACATCCCTGTGTTCTGTCACTTGTGTGGGGAAGCATATGATGCCATGACTAACCATATGATCAAAATCACTAGTATCGCAGATTAATCTTACTACCACACACAGATTCACTCACTGGCTTCATCAAATCCCTATTCTAGTCACTGTCTGCCTGGTGGTCAAGCTGAATTTTGTCAGCAGTTAAGACTGATGACATGTCTCTACATCTCACTGTAATTTCCACTTTACATAACAGGAAAATCAATTTGTTGATTTGAGAAAAAAACTATAATAATTCTCATCACAAGACACATACATATATAGATATAGATATATATACTTCACAGGAAGGGAAGTATTTCAAATGGAAATCTTATTTATGTGTACTTACTGAGATTGTACCATTGTCTAGACCTATGGACAGTCTTCTTGTTTCCGGGTTAAAAGACATGCATGAACATGGAGCTGAAAGAAATGAACATGTTGATGAAATTAACAAAATGATGACTCTCATCTTAGGAGTGACTAACTAGCTAAAAGTGTGTGACTATTCCCCCCCCACCCCCCATTCCCTGAAAAACCGTTCATTTAACTCCCACTCACCAGAAAACAAAAACAGTAATTTTACAACCAGCCCCTAGTTTTTAAGTTATCCTTTAATGAGCATAACAAGGACATTCTCAAACTGGACAAGTTCCAAGTCACTTGGTCTCAGCTATTATGTCAGTACTGTATCTAAATTTGCTTGACTAGATTAACAGGATTTTCTGTTGTATAATCTATCTCTAATCTGTCTCTTCCACTCAAGCCCCATCTTAAATAGAAATAATCTATCCTTTCTGAACTGTGAAATAAAAGATTGTATTATTCCCACCCTCCCCCAACCTCTCCCGTCTCCCAAAACAGAAATATGTATTTTGATTCAGAATTGACTTGGGGTATGTGGACAACATAAGTCATTTGCTTTCAGCATTCAAGGGGTACACTAGAGGCTACTGATGGAGAAAAGGCTGAGAATGTATCTCAGTTTAAGAGAACTGACTTGGGCCTCCCTTGTGGCACAAGGGGTTAAGTCTTAACACTATCAAGCTATAGGTAGCCACTGCAGCATGAGTTTGATCCCCAGCCAGGATGCTGACCCTCCAGCACAGCAGCTCTCTCCTGTTCCTGCTGTTCCCCTCAGCAGTGTATATCAGTCAGTTCCCACTCTGTCTCTGATGAGTCTTCTTATCACTCCGCCCACCCCACTCCCCATCCCTGGCCCCCAGCACCTCTGGCCTACACCCCAGCTCTTGTATGCATAAAATTTTTTTTTAAATCTTTAAAAAAAAAAAAAAACAGAACTGACTCAATGAGGGCCAAGGCTCCATAGAAATCAGATGAGTCGTTGAATCAGTTCGTTCACCCAGTCTTGACAGAGCCTCTCTGTTCTAGTACATTGGCTACCTGAGTACCACCTGAGCCTAAGTAAATTAAGCATACTTGGAAGCCACAAGAGCTTGTTAAACAGCTTCCAGGCCCCTGCCATCTCTATGTACACTTGCTTCCAAGAATGGAGCAATAAAACACCCTATACTGAAATAGTTGTTCTAAAGAGTCCAATATAATTTTTAAATATCTCATCCTCTTCACAGTAGCCCTGTACACCATGAACTACTATTCATCATAATCAAATCAACATCAACTATTTTTATTTCTAACTTTCAGTTATAATTAGATACCTTGCACAAGGTCCTATAGGAAAAGAGGTGAAGAAGGTACAAAGGTATAACTTAAACACACAAACCTATTCTCAAACACCCATCTTAGGTAATCTTTAAACTATAAAAAGAGTCAAGTTCTACTGACAGAGCCACTTCAAAAACACATCATCAAGTAAATTTTTAAAATTCTATAGAAAAGAGCCCTGAACAACAACAAAAACCACTTTCTAAACAGTATGAAGTTTGACCTTTTCCCTGATTTTCAGTAATTAGATATACAGAAAAAAGAAACATAAAAATTGCCCCCCCAAATTTTATTAGCACAGTATCTGTTGTTTTAGACACAAAATTGAATTTGATACCAAAAGTATACTGTAAAAAAAAGGCAATCAAATGATCTTTAATTCACTGCCCTCAGAGAGTCCAGTCTCAATGTTTTGGGCCTATAAATGATATTGACACAATTTTTTACCAGTGTTAAGATGCCAGATTTCATAATTCTGTAACAAATGAACAGAATTAAAATCGAGTTTAAAACTACTATTTTAGTTGAAAAAGAAAAAAAATGGATTACAATAACAGAACATACATATACACATAAAATTATACAAAGAAAAAAACTACACAGTTCTCATGTTCAAATAATAAGATTATTTCTGTAACACTGTCTTTGATCTTTATTTCACTATTCTTGTTTAAAGTTTTAAAATAACAAGTACTTTTTAAATATATAAGCATGAGCACAGAAAGCAAAATTTGATTGAGCACCAAAAAGTTACAGAATAGTCAAGAATCATCTTATCACTTCACTGCCTGCTGAACACATGAAAATATTATCTATGTGATTTACTCCAAAATTAATTTCTCCTTATTTCATAGAACTAGAAAACCACCAATCTTCAAATGTAATCTTTTTAGCTATTGCATAAGCTACCATTAAATATACATCATTATTTCTGTATCAATTGTTTTATTTTTCTAGCAAAATGTAAAATGATTACTTTGTTCCAAGCATGTGATTCAGTGACATATATATAGACATATAGACATATGTGCATACACATAAATGTATAGAGACATCTATGTCTCTCTCTGTATAGATAGCTATATACATACATATATACACACATGTGTGTGTGATACACACATGTGTGTATACATGTGTACATGTGTGTGTATATCATACACATGTGTGTATACATGTGTGTATATGTGTATATATGTATGTATATAGCTATCTATACAGAGAGAAACATAGATGTCTCTATACATTTATGTGTATGCACACGTGTGTGTGTGTGTGTATATATATATATAGGGAGAGAGAGAGAGAGAGAGTCTTAGTCACTGTTTTATTTCAAATCTTTGTTTAAAAAGAAGTACCAACAGAATTCAAAAGGAAAAGACCCTTCATATAAATCACCATAAACAATGAAGATTTTGACAGAAATCCTATTCTTAAAGAGAGCAATATTTGAACCCAAGATGGCTCTACACAAGGCAATAACAAAGCTAAAGAACAGGAACTCACAAGTCCCCAAAAGCACTATCTGCCTTTCTGAAGGCAAAACACCAGGCAAAGCTGTTCATGTGTGTGTGCACAGATTTTGCTAGATGAGTTTTAAAATGACGATTCCATAGAAGGAGGCACTGGATTGGTTACCCAGAGGCCCTCCGGGGCAACGAGACAGGGAGCAGATTAAATAGAATCCTGAAGCCTATATTGGTTATCACAGTACAGGTCTTTCCTTCTGGGGGTTGGAGTAGATAAATTCATACAGAGATCTTTCTAGTTTAACTCACCAGAAATCTACAACAAAAAAGTAACTTCTGGAAGTCCACACTAAATGGACTCCTGTCCGTGCAAGAAAATATAACAAAGGGCAAAACTGTCTGGAGAAATAAGAAGACACATAAAGTAATGTTAATTATAGCCAAACAGCAAAGGGAATCCTTTGGCAGGAAGAATGAGGGAAGAGACACAAAGAATGACTACATAAGACTGCAAAAAAAGAAAAAAAAAGTGATGTTTTATACATAAGAATGCAGATACAATGCTATAAAACCAGTAATCCATAAGCCTCAAAACACTGGTCTCTCTGACAGCTGAAAGTTCAGATTAGAGAAGCACTGCCTGAGATATAATCTCTCCTACATATTAAAATTACATTCTTCAAAGGTTAAGTAAATGGTTGACTATAAAATCACAATTCAGTTCCCCTCTTCTAGCTTCCTCTGATAAAACTGCATCCCTTAAGTCTAGATGAAACCAACACAGCATGCTACAAAACATAAAGGTATGTTTATTTCCCCAACCTTGAACTGTCTCTCTATAAGAAAGGATAATTCCCCTGCAAAAGCTTTGTAGGGTGACCCCCTCTTGACAAGGCCACTCTCACACATCATGCAATGTGTAGTTTGTCTAAAACTTTTCCTGTACAACCCCAGCAAAAGAACATCAAAGCCTTGTCACAAGTCACAATCTTGTTGATATTCCATCCTAGTTTCTCTTCCAACTTCCCCTACCAGTGTTTTCCATTACATTCTAGGGGGGAAATTGACCAGTTACTCAGTGAAATAGAACAAGAACTTCATTTTCCACACTATCTGATTAAGGTTTACCACCTCCCTTTTCTGTTTCACATGATGACAGTCAAAAGAAGTGTAAATAGCAAAATTTCAGGAAGTAAGTGAATGAAAGGTACAAATAAAATAAAATATTCGTGCAGATTTATGAGGATGGGAAATATTTTCTTATGTTAGTATCAAAACTTTGAAATGTGGTTGTCAAATCTTTAAAATTAAACAATTTCATAATACTAAACTTTTAAAATGAAATCTTTCTAAATTAAGGCAGGGATTAAGTTTAAAATGTAGGGAAAACTAAAATGAAGAGAAGACCCCCACATGGGTGATTATATAATTTGAAGGGGAAAAAAATAATACATACGAGCCCCAGACAGAGGGAACTCATGAGACCAATATCTATCTCAACTGAATTAAGTGGATTAGGGAAAAAGTCCTGTTTTTCTAATAGGTTGCCTTATATATAATATATATGTGGTACCTATAAAATTGAGGAAGTTTTCTCAAAATAGATCTAATTAAAGAAGTTCCCTGATTTCTATCTTATATACCTATAATTCTTTCATGTTATGACCAATTTTTTTTCTCTATCCTTTCCTGATCAGTTGAACTTTGGTTAAATAAACATAAGTTTCACTGAAGATTAAGTATGGACTGAATCACAGTGAGTGCTTTTCAATGCTGAAGGTATTGTTTGCCAGGAGACAGTCATCTTCAAGGGATGTTCTGGTGGGAACTTTAAACAATGGTGCTTCCGTGAATAAAAGTTCAGGTATTAAAGGGCATTTCTGATGAAGTTTAAATGCCCTTTTCCTAAGATAAGAGGATTTAAAATAGAGCCTTCAACAAACACCCTACAATCACAAAGAATTAACACACAGCACAATTTCTTTCAGTCCTGTTTATCACAAGATAATATTAATTGGATTTACAAGATTCAACAAATGCTTTATTCCATGAAGAACATATATATACCTCAACTGCCTACTGTTAAAAAAAATTCAATTAAATCAAATACTTCTGTGTGCTCTACTAAAATTAACCATTTGTTTCTTTTGATTAATCTGAGTACTACCGGCAAATTTATAGTGCATTACTAGTATAATCACATTTTCACTCAGACAGGTTTTATATTAAAGCTATAAATTTAAGATTGAAGTACAGTAAATTTTAAAA